CCCCTGCTTTCAGTTCTATATTAACTACAGGGTGATCAAAAACTTTTTTTTGCGCGCTCATATGACCTTAGCAGTTGCAAGCGCCGTAAAACCCTATACTAATACCCCCAAAAAAAACTTTTTTTGTTGATATTTTCCTCCACACTGAAGTTTTGCGTTTCGAATTTGTACACAACATTCATAAGTCAAAAGGAATGTTTTTTTCCGATATTCATTCTAGATAAATCCACAGAATAGTTTTGCTTTACATAGCGCGAAAAACAACAACCCATTTTCAGCTGTGTCCCCCTTTTTGTAGCAAGACACACTAGATCTAGTTCGCATAAGGACTACCTCTAAAAATCCCAACGATTGTGCCACATTTCAAACTACAGTAGTCTAACAGGCCAACAGAAGTTTGCAGATAGTTTTTCTCAAGTTTCCTTTGCCTGCTGAGATCATGGTTAAAATTTGTAAAGAGCAGAGAGCACTTTGTATTGAATATTTCCTCACCATCAACTCATTCCGTAAGTTTCGAAAAGGTACGACAATAATGTTAAAGTGCCCTTAAGGCTTTCTTTGATGTCATGGATAGAATTTAATGGTCTATCAGTTAAGACCTGAAGAGAATCAAAACTAAAAATTCCCAGAAAAAACGACCACTTTAGGTCATACACACACCGTTCGCATCTCTTTGAACGTCACCAGGATGCAGAATTCAGTGGATGATCCCCATGATACGTCTGTCCGTTGACGATGTCTGCAGCAACGACTTTCCTACATCTCAAAGGTCCGCATTCTCAAGGCAGATTTTCATCTACGACTGTACCATTTTCCTATTCGCAAAGGTATCAGACGATTGCAATGTACTCACGATCCCTTGATCGACTTGAAAAGCGTGAACATTTCCTCTATGAAATTTGATTCCTTGGCAAAGCCCATATTCATTCACTTTTTAGGTTATATCCAATCCATAATGCCTACTTGGGCACCCCCCCCCTTCCCCTTCCTTTATTGCCCCCCTAGAAGCAGCTCCATACTGTAAAGTGTGCAGTGTGTGTGCTTTGGGTACTCATGGCTGTTTGGCCACCGTTGAACTTAATGAACGACGTGTTAAAATGTGTCGAGTCCAAAGGAGGACATTGGTTCTCAGATATTTTTAAAAATTCTGTAGGAGAAAAGAAATATTGTTTATATATTGATTACAAGGATGGAAAGATTAGATTTAAAAAATAAAAGGAAAGGGAAAAAAGCAAACCAATCATTTCATGACTTTCCTTACAATATCTTTTAAATTGGTGAATTTTGCATTTATAGGTGGTTTTTATAAAAGCTACAATGTATTTCCGTTTTCGAAAAAAAATAACGTTTTTTCTTTGTGAACTTTATTTCAAACAAATTCCTTTTTGAATGAACTATCTGTTCTAAATTACAATATTCTAGTACAAATTTTGTACGAAATATTAAGAAAACAAGTTTACACTATTTTAAAAATCACCCTGTATTATAATAATATAATGATACTGTCCAAGAGTGCCACCCGTTGAAAATGACCACTTTCCCCCCTAAAAAATTTGCAGTCCTCTTGGACAGGTTCGACTGTATTTTTAAAAATCTTGAGTCATGCAGTAATATTTGCCTTCCTCATGAGCTGCCACAAGCCAAAGTTTGTCACATAATAGATTTAAGAACAGTAGTAAATCAAACATTCAGTTTCTCTCTGTCAGATGTGCATGAGTTTGAAGAGATAAAAATCACCCACACCCCACCACATTCCAGTCTCATACAATCCCCCCCCCAAAAAAAAACCTCGCAGATCATAACATCTCATGATTGATCTAAATGATGTCAAATGTTTTCCGCCCCTATCGACACAATTTAGGTCTTTTAAGAAGTGGGCTGCTTCGACCCTTTCCATCACCTTCAGGTTCAACCCAGGCCGAGTTTGGTCATATAGGTGCCGAAGATTAGAGGTGTTACAAGAGAGTAACAAACACAAAAAACAAGGAGGAGAGATCAGGATGATAGATGTTTGATAGGAAAGAAGGGGCAAACCACACCAGAGCACCCACCAACCACCGACGGTAAGAGTTTTACAGCACTTGCAACACAATAAGGGTATATAAGTTCCGATGATTAGAGGCATTTCAAGAGAGTAACAAACACAAAAAAGAAGGAGAGATCCGGATGATAGATGTTTGATAGGAAAGAAGGAGCAAATCACACCACAGCATCCGCCAACCACCCATCCGTGCACAGGAGAATACAGCATGTAAGAGCAGACAAGACAGATATACTTGACAGAACAATTTCAAACACACAAGAACCAAAAAGTAGAACATCTCATGCCACTGAGGAGAGCCTCACAATTACACCACATAGTTTAGTTTTAGTAAGAGTTCTATGGCACTTACAACACAAAAAGGTCATAAAAGTGCCGTTGATTAGAGTTGGTACAAGAGAGTAACAAATACGAAAAAGAAGGAAGAGAGATCAGAAGGATCGATGTTTGATAGGAAAGATTAGAAGGAGAAAACCAAACCAGAGCCCCTCCAACCAGTTACAACACCTCAATTCACAAAGAACTCTGAACACTACATATTCTTTTCTAGTCATTTATTCATTTCATTGCTTTAAAAAAATTCAACTATACAATAACAGACATCTCAACCAATAGTATGTATCATTAAGTAGGTGCAATAAATTACAACCAATTTATGCATCGTTTGACGGCTGCCACACCATCTCTCAACATGGTCACTCTAAAAAACAAAACAACTCATAAATAAATTATTTACATCACTATCTATGCCAAGGGTTGTAACACAATCAGAATTTGTTCCAAAAAAGGAATCGATTTGTGCAGGGTATGTCTGTGAGGTACGACCATAGGAAGTAATGCACATACATTGTACTCATCAGTGCAAGTTGCTAACAACAAAATCTCCATTGAACAATAAGAGCCAACGTTAACTAGAACTTTACTGAATAATAACTTTCAAGGTTCTTGAAATTATGATGGTTTTAATGGGGCGGGGGAAGGGGAGAATTAATTAACTGGTAGTACCAAAGAGGACAAAGAGGAAAATGCAGGTTGAGAAGAAGAAGAATTGGTTTGATCCGTTGTATGTTTGGTTTTTCCCTTATGTGCTTTTAAACCTGCACTGATGGTATTATTATGAAAACGTTGATCAAATGCACCAAGCCCATCCCTCTGTCGAATTACCACTGATGTGAGAACGACAATGCGTAGTTTTGTTTACCATCCCATTCAGTAGAAGAAGAAGTTCAGAGAGACACCTACATGTAGTAGTAGGATGTACGGTAGCGGGACAGTGAAACACCCTGCATCTGTTCATAAAATTTGGGAAATGTCTTATTAAATTCACAGTTAATTCAATGGGGTTTTTTAATAATACGACTATACTAGTATTGCTTTTGCTCCTCTAAAATTGTAGAAAATAAAATAAAAGGATCAGCTCTTGGTAGTTCGCATATTTTCTCTAGACAGACATCATTTCTAACAATCTCTAAATCACCATCTGGACGAGACATACCAGTTCAAATCTAAATTCTAAGTTGCACTGGCTTCCAAAACCAGAACAAGCCAGACTCCTCTGGTGCGAGACAAAATCATGAACACTTCCTCCAAACCCTGGGTGGAGACATTAAATTAACTCCTTCAATGACACCCAGCACTGACAGTGAGACTCGAAAGCTAAACCTCTATAAAACCGACACAATTAAGTTATGTTGAGGAAATCCCCCTTTCCAAAAAAAACGGCCCGTGCTCATTCTAAATGCTCGTTAGACAGGATAAACATCCCCACGAACATAGACACCATAAATAAACATTCAGCAAAATAAGAACAGTAGAACTCTGCGGTCTAAAAAAATGTTATCTCTAACAAAAGAGAAAAGAGCTTCAGTTTTTGTACAACTGGAACATTTTGTCTTTATCCATTAACATCTCATTTATTGCTGTCTACGAATAACCATATCTTATTATTTTCTTTGAAGAGGTGATAGTCAAAAACAAAATCCTGAGTAAAAATGAACAAATATTTCATTGAATAGTTCTTGATGCAGGGTGTTGGCTAGTTAAGACGTCCTCAAATTTAGTTCTGAAAGTACAGAACCACTGGACTACTTACAGAAGAAAAAAACAACATTGGACCGGCTTCACATTTCCTTTACAGGGGATTTCATAACATGAATATAAAAACAGTTCAATAGTAACAAAAGTGACAAAAAAAGACAGGATTTCTGTGATCCACAAGGGTGGCTGGGGGAGTGAGGGGGGCGAGGCCAAAGGCAACAAGTTGACCTACGACCTCATACACTGAGAACTGAAAATGCTGCAGCAGAAAATGATTATGAACAACAAAGTTTGCATAAATAAGATAACACCGTTGTCCACTTTGCCCTGACAAAGTAGTTTCACCCGTAACAACATCCAATCATAAAGAAACTATTTTGCATAAAAAGATAGAGATGGTCTGTCTACCTGTCCATTCATACATCCACATTTCTCATCCTTGCACGCTAATGCACATATGTACAAACATGCATAACATATAAACACACACTCTGTCTATTTGTCTGTCCGTCCTTATATGTATTTCCCTGTCAAGGAGTTTTCAATTCTCTTCCACAACACAGACCATGTACTTGTTCCGTATATTTGTTCTGACCACTTCTTCAAGCCCTCAGACCAGCAATAATACGCTGGTGCAAGACACTCACACAAACAACAGCACAAAACTACAGAGCGTAGACAACCTGTACAAATACTGCAGAAGCAACACTGACAATTATTGCTACTCTAAAAGCAAGGCATTTGCAACATTGAATAAATTTAAACCTTCTCAAAACAAAACCCTATTTGAGACCCTGAATGGCCTACTGTATTTTGCTTCTTGGCATGTAATAAGTAAAAAACCCACCAGCTACATAAAACTGATTAATCTAAAACAAATTTAAAAGAGTGCAAAATAAAAAAGCTAGAATATTACTGAAATCTACGCTAGGGAAATTTCTTTCCCATTATCTAATTCTAAAATAACCTTTTCACACAAAAACAAGTCTGCAAGGACCTAAACTGCACTTGCGTACAAAAGATTTCCCTTTTTTTCCGGCTCTCCCAGCAGCATCTCACACTGCGTTCACTCTCTAAAATGCAAACTAGACAAGATCACAACCATCCGAATCCACAACGGTAACTAATACTGTAGCTTAGGGTCTTTCCTCTACACAACACTGCTGATACCCAAGCACTGATCATCATTCAGGAAATAAAAATAGCCATGATCCACTTGAGACAAAAGATTTCTTAAGTACAACCTTTATGATTTATGAATCCTGTAGAAAATTTATATCTACATTTACAAAAAAATCAGTAATGCAGTCACAACTCAACATTGTACAAAAAACTAATAAAATCTGTTGTATTTTCAAATGCAGCAAATGAGAAAAAAAATAACATGGCCTTGCGGACATAAAGAATGAGAAATGGAGTTAGGTAAATTTGTCAAAAGACTTTAAAAATGACTGCCATTTGCCAATTTGTAAGTAGAGCGCCCCCAAGGTGGAAGACTATGACATGAAACAGTTTATTGGGAGGGAAGGAAGGCGGGAGAACAGACTGTGTGCATAGATCAAAAACTTAAGTCAACATTAAGGCCAAATTCTCACACATTCTCAAGTGCCTCACGTTGACATTTGCACACCTGGCCACATCTTTTGTGGTAACTTAATTTACATCGTAACTTTTAAAAATTGCCAACATTTTGACAAACCCTTAGGCACAATAAACCCTGCAAAATTTGAAGATCAAAATGAAAAATTCCCAAAAGAGCACATACATTTACTAACTTGGTATGAAATCTTTCAGAGGGTTTTGTAAATAAAAATGTTGAAACAATATGTTTCATTAATTTTTTCTTGAAAGATTCATCAGGAAACAGTTAATATTTTTTCCTCACTTGAAAAGCATAAACATCTGGCTCAAAATATAAAAGTAAAATGAAATTGTAGACTGTTCTTGAGTGGAGCATATTCTTCCAGTTTAAAATGAATCTAGAAAATAAATGTCGAACATAATTTTTCCACAAATCAGCAAACTAAGCAAAATTGCTATTTGTTCTTTAGGCACCACAGTGGGCGCATTTATACACTGCCCTTTGGTAACCCATTCCCCTCAAATTCAAAGAGCAAATGAAAGACGTATAAAAGACAATTAAGGCAAGGCAAGAAACAGAGAATAGTAGAAGCAGAGGCACAGTTCTGAGAACAGCAGCTTAGTCATGTGATCAACACATTCACCAGATGTAAAGTAACAAAAAGAAATGAGAGCATGACAATGGGGATGAACAATTCCCAATTAACTTATAAATGCCCTGTGTTAGACAACTGTCAGCAACCATCACGGTCAATGAAAAAGTTTCTACAGACCCTGACAGCAGCAACGAAAACAGTGAAAACCTAAAGAGAAATCTGGACTTCAAATGAGTGAAAATATACTGTGAGAGGCAACATCTCTAATGAGGTGCAAGTCACAATTTTGAGTCAAAGATATTGGTAGAGAAAAGCACTTGCACTAGGGGTTACTTTTATAAAATGGTAAGTGCACAATTATCGAAACAATCAGGGAAGTTCACGTGATGGGAAAGTCCATGGGTGAAAGACTTGACTATTTACAGTCTAACTTCATAGACAACATTTAAAAAACCACTTTTCACTGTGGTGATAATGATATTTTCTATCTGGGAAATTCCATCTTATTCAATCTATAAAGCACAAAAACATCCTGGTTCCCCATCATCTTTAATTTTTTCCCCTCTAACACCTAGAACATCAAACAGTTTAGACACTGCGTCACATTTTGAAATGTTGCCAAACAGACAACGACTCTGAAGCCTCAGACGATATTACAATACACAGAGAACATAGGAGTGACCAGTACTAAAAGAGCAAGAACTGATTGTCCTAATTAACAGCAACACTACCGCACATCGGAACCCGTTTTGTGCTGGGGCTGCTGCTGTAACGAGGGTGACGACGATGACGATGACGGTAAAGGTGTTGATGTAGAGTTGCTGTGGGCTGGAATGCTGCTGTGAAGAGGAGGGGTGTGAGAAGAAGGTGGAGGCGCCACGCTACTAGGGGACTGGTGGCCATTGCTAGTGCTGCCACAGCTCACATTATGGCTGTGGGATGATGAGGAGGGTGTCCCTTTGCGATGAGGCCGGCTGTACGCTGCGTTCAGCTGCTCTACATCTCGTTGGCTCTGGCAATCTGTGAAGAATCAGAATCTTGTCAACACATGTACTCCATGCCACAGACAATTCATCACTATTTCTTTTTTCTCCCAAGTGGATCAGATACCTTCATCAAATTTCATACTAAAACAAGTCATAGCAAAAACATTATTCTTGCTACTAAAGCTGTAGTTCTGAAGTTCATGCTTTAGTTTTATCATCTGTTTCCATGCTCACTTTTTTTTTTTTTTAAATCTTTTTAATCAGTAAAATGAAAGAAGCTGCAATTGTCTTTCTAATTTGGCTTTTCATTCAAAAGTAAATCGTCCTTTCCTATTCCTGATATCTTGAAAATAGTCTACAAAATACTGATACATAGGATGTTAGGTTAAAAAACTCTAAAAGCAAAAATCAAAGTGATTCAAGAAAATCATCTCACTCTGTACGGCAGCATTTTCCATTACAACTTTTAAAAACCCAACAAGAATTGCAATATAAAGACGCAGTAAGTAATTGTCTACCATCAAACTACAGACTCAAATATCCCACAACAGTAACAATATGTGAGGCATCATAGTAAAATCAAACGCATGTGAAAATAATGAAATTGAAGATACTGGCTCCCCCCCCCTTTGGCACTTTTAGTCAGATTTTTCTTTTTTGGCTTAACACCTCTAACGTCCATTTAAAAAACATTTCTGTGTGGATTTTACTGAAGAACGTTGATTAAAGGCATCAAAAGCTGTAGAATCCACCAAACTTAAACGGTCGTTTTCTTATCAATTTTACCTCTGAAAGCAGGTAACCCCCACCTCCTTCAATCACACATATTGATTTCTGTACATTTAAGGTGATACCAATAGCTCCACATGCCCCAAAATTGACAAGCGCCTGATTCCATCATGTCGTGACACATAGGCAGGACACTTAAACTTACCGGGACAGTGTGCACACTGGAACATGGGACTGGTAGAAAAAGAAGAGTGTTCCGCATTGCAGCTACAACTGACACAGTCTGAAACAAAAAAGCAATATGTTAGAGGAAGAGTCACAACATTTAACAACTTGAAACGCAAGCTCATATACCTTTCTAAAGACACTGACTGCAAAAACTACGGGATGGAATAAAATAATTACGAAAGAGTTTGTGAAAATTGCTGTTCTGAGAATCACTTTTCTTCGAACTCCAAATTGGTGATAAACAAATTCTCCTCAGCTGTGCTTTAAGACTTTCAGGCATACAGCCACGTCTTTACATCATTGTGACGCTGTAAATGCATTAGACTAAAGATGCCCTTCTCAGAAACTGAAGAGACAAAATTAAAAATTTCTTTAATAAAAAATGCTCACATTAAGGAATAGTTACTTATAACAAGGAATAGAAGTCTCTTACATCAATGGAACCATGGGACCAAGGTCTAAAAAAAATATAAAGCTTTTGGGAGGTTTAACCTGTCCATCTTTTTATGTCAGGTTCGAATAAGTTTGAACATTAAACCCCTTCTGGAAAGTCTGCCATAATACATTGTAATACAATGAAGACAAGTCCCAAAATTTCTCTAAATGGACGAGTTGTCTCTAAACAGCAGATCACGAGATCAATAATTCTATTAACTGTTCACTAGAAAGAAGAGAAAAGAGAGAAAAGACAGAGGAAAAAAAAAGGAGAGAGGAAGGAAATGAAGGAAGGGGTAAGAGTGACAGACAGAAAGCCTATTAAGTCTAAGACTAGGGTCAATCTATCGTGGTGACAGTAAATCATAACCACTGCCAAAAACTGTCAAATTGACAGGGAACTGGCAACTTACCAGGCTGCGCAGCAGAAGAGTATGTATCACACTGGGCGTAACAGAGGGGCTCCTGGCCCACACTACTGGATGACCTTGACCTCTCGATCTTGACCGGCACCTTCTTCCCACCACCTTTGTGTCTGTGAGGTGGCATCGAAACAGGCCCACGGTGGGGACCACTACGTCGTCCCTGCAGCTCCATGTTTTTTTCGCAGCATCGCGAGGAATGCTGGGGAGGGTGGTGGGGGGAAGGGCAGTAGTGAGGGTCACGCATCACCTCACAGCAGCATGGAGTGGGCGTGGCCACCCGTGGCGATGAGGAAGAAGGTGTGGCGTGTTTCGACGGTAAGGGATACACATTGTCACATTCACTGCAGTGCATGCCGCCAGAGTCGTGGTAGTGGTGCAGCCTAGCATGGACAGCACTGTTGTCTCTATTATCCAGGCCTTCCCCACTCCGAGATGACTGCGGGTGGTGGCCCTTTGCTGGGTTCCCCTTGATCCCACAGACTTCAGAATACGTTGGCGGGGACCTGCCCTTTCTCTCGCTCCCCTGCGAGGAAGAGGAGATGGCTGAAGAAGGGTTAACAGGGGGTTTACTATCACTTCTGGGCTGCCTCTTGCTGCCAGCACCAACGCTGTCACTTTTATCACTGTTTACAGCGTCCACATCATGCATACGACACGGAATATGATTACTACTCGGATGATGGATTTCAGTTCGGCCATTTGGATGGCCATGCATGGAATTAGAATTGGCCCCAGTAGTGGAGGCTGGCCACGCGTGGTGCCCACAGCCTGCACAATGAGGCAACGGGGGGCTGGGCGACTCAATGTCTCTGTTATCACAGGAATCACTATGATGACGCTGTCTGCTGTACACACCCCCACAACGACCACCGCCCTCCAACCCTCCCCTAGAGCCTCCTCGCGACCAACCAACCCCCGCCTTATTACCAAGAGTATTTGCTGTACCGAGCTTTTCATGGTGAGACATTTTGGTGGGGTGAAAAGTCTGTAATAAAGGTCTCCCTTCCGGAGATAAAAGTTGCGGCTGATGCAGCTGGCTGGCATGTGACTCGGAAAAATCCCGCGGTTCATCTGAGCCAGGTGAGGGAAAAGCGGGCGATGGGTTTCTCCAGTAGTCGTCACAGGCTGGGGCAGTGGCCACCACCAGGGGGCTGACCGAGTGGCCCGAGTGACTGCTGGGCGGGTCGCTGCTGCCACTGTGTTGACCGCTGCTGGTGCTGTGGCGGCTGCCGATGGTGTCACCATCACTGCCTGGATACTGCAGGCTGGCTGCCGAGTGGGCTGGAGAGACAGAAGAATAAACTAATGTAAATTACTACATCAAAACAACCATAAAAAAAGATTAAAACATCAAATTACTTTATCAAAACAAAATTTTTTAAAATATTAAAACATCAACAATCATATAAATTAACTCAACACTCCCTGAACCCACCTAAAAAAAGTGACATTCTGTTTATTGACTAAAACTATATCACAACTAAAAACATCAAACCAAGATCAATGAATGTACATCCTGAGCTAAGAAGTATCAAGAATTTGAACATTTTAATAGATCTATGACCCTAAATATCAACTCTTTCAAAACAACAAAAATCACCTTAGCACGCTTATACACCAGTCCAAAAATACTTTCACAATATCAAGCTACCATGCGGAATCTCCCCAATTTATCTACAATATCTTATTTTTGTACTACCTGATGAATCTGCACTTCCTCTCAAACCAGAATAATTATACATTGTTCAAACCCATAGACACTTGATTCCAAAAACTCTAAGCAAGGCTCAAGCAATTACTACTGTACATGTAGCAGTCTCCACAGACATCCAGCAAACAAAACTCCCGTCTCACTACATCAAGAGGCATTCTATAATAACTTTGAAGTTCATTTAAATCTACACAGGTGGCTGACCTGAATTCATTTTTCTCAGCAATCTATCTCCAGCAGTCAGTGTTGGCGGGTGGTTATCATCTTCATCCACATCACTGGGGCAGACGGCTGGACGAGCATAGCCATTGGCTCGAAATTGACCGGAGGAGGATTCGTAGCCAGACTCCTTCATCTGATAATCTGCAGACAAAAAAATTTCCATAAACCACTAATAACAAATTCAGGTTTTCTTCACGGTCGCATACATGTGGCATCAATAATGCTGAACAGACACTAATATGACACATACTGACATTTTCTTGCACTCCACATTTGAAGACTACAGGGGGAAAATGACAGTAGTCACAAACTGAAAAACGAGAGGGTACCAATTTTGAACTCCTGTTGACTCTTAACTGTATTTCTTTTCATCTGTTGGTTGATTATTGTTGTTAGAATTCCCATTCAACAACACTTTACAATAAACCACAATTCAAACAAATATGAAGTTACGAGTCCACAGGCTTTTAAAATTGACACCTTCACAATTTCCAGTTTGTGACTATCGTCGTTTTTCCCCTGTGCTCTTCATTTACATTTTAAATTCCATTTCAAAAGCTGCACAATCTTTCTGAACTTTTCAATTACAAAAACATACGTTCCTAAAAAATTATTCTTAAAAGGGCAAATAAAGTTACATCTAGAACAAAGATTCAGTTCACATAGATGCACACGGTAAACAAAGAACACAACCTCCGTGCCCTGTTACCAACCTAGCACACAGAGAAGAGAAACAAATGTTCTGATCAATGTCAGTCATCCGAGGAGAATCCAAGGAGATAGAGCAGATAACGTAGTTTTAGTAAGAGTTTTAGCCCACTTGCAAGTAAGTGCCGAAGATTAGAGGTGTTACAAAAGAGTAATAACCACCAAAAAAAAGAAAGAAGAGAGATAAAGACAAAAGATCTTCCATAGGAAAGAAGGAGCAAACCACATCAGGGCACCCGCCAACCATCCACCAGAGCAGACGAGTGTACTAACCTTGGTAATGGTAACCACCCATAGTGATGGGGCCCTGAGAGTAGCTACCCTCTTTGTCAGAGGACATGTAGCCCGAGCTCGGCACTTCTCCCGGCAAAGTTGTCTCATCTGTGGAACACAAAAATTTGTTTGTTTGTTTGAATAAGGAGAAGCACATCGATGCAATAATTGTCATTTAGTGCTGGGGAAAAGTTGGGACAGTTGGCAAGCTAGTAACACTGAAAATGAGGAATTAACCCCTTTAAAGACCCGATACCACACAGGTAAAAAGAAGATATACCACACAGGATAGAACTATGAAAGAAAGATCCTCAGATATCTCAGTTGATATAAAACTGACATATGTAAAAAGAAGTAGAAGAAATAGACCATATAGGATGTGGTGGTTGTTGTTTTAAAATCCCTTTAGCTGCCAGAATTTCGCTCTGACCATATAGGACAGAGCTAAAAAAAAATAAAAATCCCCACTTATCGGAGTTGATATAGAACTGACATATTTAAAAAGAACTAGAAGAAATAGACCACATAGGAGAGAACCAAAAAAAAAAAAAGTCCTATAAAACTGACCTGTGGGTGTGGCGCTGTACACCTCATGCCTTTTCCTTGTCTGGTAGATAATGATGACCCACACAAGAGAGGTTCCCACCACACAGCACACCACAGCGATGATGATGATGCCAGTCGTAGTGGATTCATCATCAAGGCCAAACGAACTGCCGCCAGGCTCATGAACTTCTCCGGACGTACTCAAAACCTGAACATGGACACACAAGGATTTCGTGTCAAATTTGAGCTGGTATTAAAAGCCGGACTTATGGCTTCTACTTATAAAATGGCCACCCTAAATTTCATTTTCAGATAAAACTAACTGCTATATAATATACATACAGCACATAAATTTCCTACAGAAAGGAAGAATAACGCTGAAGGTGTAATGTAATTGCAGCATCTTTAAATATGAAGCTATGTTTTTCACTTTGCTGCAAGGAAATGATAGCTTTAAGCCAGGTATACTTTACTCGATACCGACAAATAAGGAGGTTATTGATTTAAATCAATACTTCCTCCAAAACATGTTGCTACTCTCATCTAAAGATATGAAATAACATCAAGACGCTAGCTCAGGATAGAGAAAAGTGTTTGTCTGTGGCCTATTCCCGGGTGCAGGATGAGAGAAAGGCAATGATGATGACTCTCATTTTAGCACACATGCTTTGATTTCAAATTAGTAAACTGAAATATCCTTAAATTAGTCTCTTTAAGTAATAATGGCAATGTTAAAGTCTAACTAACCTGAAGTTCAGTAGCACCCTTCGCTGTTCCTAAGGAATTGGACATGCGACAGGCATAGATACCAGCATCGGACCACTGAGTGTCTACAATCACCAGAAGCTGATTGTCCACAGTAAAGAAATGTCGAGGGGTCATCTGAAACAATGGACATCAATGAACAGTCTTTAAGAAATGCTTCACTTTAAACCACTTCACAGCAATATATTAAGGAGTACTAATCAACTCTGAAATACAGTAAATAATTTTTTTTTCATTTGCAATAGAGCAATTTTTGTGGCTTGGGATTAACCAATTTTGACAGACATATTTTTCTGAAACCTACAAGTCTAATTTTTTTTTTTACAACAGAGCCTAATCTTAATGAACAAATGTCAGAGAAGTGGACAATGTCATGACATGGAGGATATTGCGTGGTTGATAATTTTGTAACTCAAAAGTCAAAGTCTGTTATTATTCTTAATGAAAACTAGTTGTCACCATTGCAAACAGTCAAAAATGTCAAAAAGAATTTTGTAATATTAAGGTAGCGACTTACCACCAGCTCCTTGTCATCTTTGAGCCACGTCAGTTTGGGCTGTGGGCTCCCAGATGCCATACACTGGAGCACAGTTGTCTCTCCTCGTTTGGTGGACTTTTTCACTTGCATGGGCTGCACAAAATCTGGGGTTTCTGTCAAAACATGAAAAACAGACGGTTGTAATACGTGTCTCCACCTTTTCTCACAGCCAGTTACAATTTTTTGCCTTTGTGATAGAGAAAGAACTCTTCAATTGACACACTAGGCAGGAAAGTTTGTTTCAGTTGAAAAGAATAACACTTACACAATAACTGTCCAAGTGAAACAAAAATGACACTGAGCGAGAGTAAGGAAGTAGGACCTCACAGTAGCTACCTCAAACCAATGACAGATGAGTAAGAGGCCCATACAAATATCATTCTCATTTGCAATTATTTGACCATCACAGAGGGATTTTAAAAAGAATTCCTTTAAAATCAAGGATTTCTTTGGAATCCGAAAATCATCAGATTTTCTACTGTCAGGTATCAAAGTTAACTGAGAAAACACTTGTATAACTCACCTAAAACAGTGACGGTAGCATTTGTGATCACAACCCCTGCATCATTTCTTGCCATACAGCTGTAGATGCCCTCATCAGCGACCCTTGTGTTCAGAATATAGAATCTGTCGTCGTTGGGGTACACCCGCATACGTCGCTCTCTGGCTGCAGGAAAGTTGTCTCCCCCATCCTTCTGCCATGAGATGACTGGCGCTGGCTGACCAGTAGCAGCACACTTTAGTTCTGCAGGTTTCCCAGCTTTGACTGTCACATCTTTAGGCCTTTTCAGAAACATTGGGTACACTGAAATATTGGGAAAATACAAATAAATTATGATGTCCGGATAGAATGTTTAGAAAATCAATTGTATAATCACATTCTCATATAGGCAATCAACTGTCGGTCTACTTAAATACACAATTTCTTAAAACTATCAACAGTGTCATTATAAGACAAACAGAAAATCAAGAGAATATATTCCAAAGTCAGCTATATTTAATATGAACTCTGCAACAAAATATAATCAACAATTTTTACATTTAAAAGCTATTCAAAAGAGTGCCTGCATAAAACAAAAAGGAAAACCCGGGCTATCACTATTCCTTAAAGCATTTCACAACAAACTAAAATAAAAAGCTAAAAAAACTCACCGTAAACCTTCACATAAGCACGTTGGGAGAAGACTTTGCCAAACTCGTTGGAAACAACACACTGGTAGCGCCCAGCCATAGAGTCCTCAATGTCCCTGAGGTGCAGGTGTGAAGTGAATCGCTTCACCTCCCCGTCACTGGTGGCTGTGACCTCCGACAGCATCTCATCCAGCATCTGTGAATCAAAGCAGACATAGTAACTGTAGAGACCCAATGTCATTGTATAAGGACAACCATGTCCCTTTATCTATTGTGGTGCCATCCAATTCAGCAAGAAGCTCTTTCTATCAACGTCTAATTAACAGGGCATCAGTACACTAAATTCACTTTTCTACAGAAACAGATTAAGATAGAATAGAGAAAAGAAGAAGAAAAAGATCGCAGTTTACTAGCCTAGAACTGACTATGAATCTATTACTCAGCAATACTGAAACAAATTCAAGCTTATGTCGCAAAAGACAAGCAGGCAACATATGTATAAAACAAAAAAAATGTTCACACAAGAAACAAACGCCTTCTGAACCTTTCATGTTTTAAAGGTGAACCTCTCTCCTCCTCCCCTTAACTATTCACTAGCTGGAAGTCTTAAGTTTATATATTTATCTCTCAGCATGTAAGAAAAAACTGTACAGGGCAACTAATGTATCAATGCCAGTGTAATAATAACACACCCTCTGCACAGGTCTGTTTCTCAGCTTTAAACAAAAATGAAATATGGAGACATTTTTTTTTTCTGAGCATGAGCAGGTTCCTCTTCTTCTGTGGAAGTTTGGGTTTTTTTTTTTTAAAGCTTGTTTATCTGTTTCGGCATGTTTATAAGTGCCCACAAACAGCTCCCAATAGCCTTAGGCTGAAAGGTGGAACACACCTGTCTCTGAATCACCAGTTAGCGTTGCAGCTACAGCAGCTGTTCCTGGTAGTTACCCCTTCAAGAATTCTGTGTATTATTCTGACCTCCCCTTCTATTTATCAGAGACACCCCCCCAGACATTCTCTACACACACGCCCAAGTAAAATATTTCTTTCTGTTCCATTATCCTGTTTTCCACATAAACAAAACATAAACTCTAACAGGTCATCTTGACAGGTAGTCAGTTTGTAAACTGTAAAAAGCAACGGCAACTGAGTAGCAAAAATAATTAATATTGGTCTCAATTTACAAGAGTCACAGAATGGAAAAAGGAATTGCAGGGCAGATACTTTGTAACAGTGGAAACAGATCAACCATACATCTCCCTCCCTCTTTGTCACTCTAGTTCCTGTTTTTCCCTGTGTCTGTCTCTCTCGCCATTGTATTTCTCCTCATCTTTCTACTTTCTCTCTCTCTCTCTCTCTCTCTCACACACACACACACACACACACACACACGAACGCACGCACACACACACACAAACTCTGTCTCTCTCTCTCTCTCTTTCTCTCTCACACTCTCTCACACTCTCTCTTTCAGATAAGAAGTAATATAATCAAAGAGGAACATACCACATTGTCTTTCTTCCACAGAATGCTGAGTTGGCTGTCTCCAGTGATAGCTGTGACACAATTCAAAGTCATGTTTTCTCCTTTGGAACCATTGGCTGATTTTGGACTCTCCAAGATGACTGGCTTGGGGAACTCGGCATTGTCTGTGGGAAACAACCACAAAGAATAATAAATCATCAGTTCGATAAAATATATCAATCCTGAACTGTTTTATGTAACACAAAAAAGACTGCTTGACAATATGCTCATGACCAGACTTCACAAAGACATGAACAATTGGCATATTTTCTGATACATTCTTTCCTGCTTCAGGTGCAACAATGGTACTTTGGGATTTTGTTACGATCACCAGTTCTTGGTAACACAATGTTAGCTGTAAACATCAAAGATACAAACCCCTAGTTGATGGACGTACCTTTGAGACTACCCATTTATGACTAATCAAAAAAGAAAATAGAAAGAAAAAATTGGGAAAAACTAAATAAAGAAGAAAAAGAAAAAGACTATAAATTAAGTTTCAAAAGTTCCAACTCACTGCACTTGAAATCAGCAACATCAATCTGCGACAACGCAGCTCCTCGCAGCAGTTGCGGGTAGAAGCAGACGCCAATGGCCGAGTGTTGGAAGCCGTTCTGTTTGAGCCAGGGTGGGAGCCAAGACAGATGGCAGTCACAGAACAACTTGGAGGAATTGAATTGCCTGCGCAGGAAGAAGTTTAGTTTTAGTACGCGTTTCACAGGAGTTGCAACATAATAAGTTCATATAAGTGCTGAAGATTAGAGGCGTTACAAAGGAGTAACAAACACCAAAAAAAAAAGAAAGTGGGAAGATAAGGACGATAGATGTCTTATAGGAAAGAAGAAGCAAACCACACCAGAGCACCCCCCAGCTGCCCACAAGGCAGGAATGAAAGAATTGTTGAGTCAACAGTTACAGAGCAGCATACATGGATACAATGATGGCTACATTTTCAAGCTGGACCATAAGTTGTGATCTGTTTAAGTCAAAGAGAAGCACATCCACATATTAACAGTCATTAAAAAACAACAACAATACAAATAGATAGCTAAGAAGAATGATCAATATAACGAATGTAACAAAGACACAAAAAAAGAAGTGAGCGTATCACCCTTACTAAATGGTACGACAAAAGTAGCAGTTAACAATCAACAACCCAGCCTTCAGTTCCTGAGCATTAATTTGAGAAAATCATCGAAGCTTTAACAAAAACAAAGAATCAACTACTCACAAATCACGCAAGTCTCTCAGGGTCTCAAAGGCGTTCTCCTGTATTGATGTAATATCATTGTCCTCAAGGTGCAAATGCCGCAAGCGAGGTAGACCTGAGAAGGCATGGACAGCGATTGAGCGCACAGCATTGGCTCGCAGGCCCAGAGTGGTCAGGCTGGTGAGACCACGGAATGCTCCAGACACATCCTCCATTGTCCACGAGATTTCATTGGCATTGAGCTCACTGAAAAGTACAAAGAAAAAACAACAGATGAAAGAAAGGGGGAAAAAACGGGTAGTTTGAAGTAGTTAATGACAAATGCAAAAATCATATTTTGTCACGACACAGACTTGGATAACAGTAGAGACCCTGGAAAGGATTAAAAGGACATCACATAAAAGTATCCATTGAACACCATCTCCACAAGTTATGGGCAGATTTTAAAAAAAAACACCC